CTGAACCGCAGGCGGGCAGATCGGAGAAGCAGCTTTCCACTGAGGTTCAAAGTGAAGGTAAAGGAGCGCTCAGTCTCACAGGGCAGACTATCCTGAAAGAGTTTTTACCTTCAGGACAGTGGGTACACTATGTTATATTAGTCATACTAGTTTTAGGTCTACAATATAGCGATTTGACATTTTTAATTCCAGTAATCATTGGTCTCCGTGTAAACTTATCACAATGTTACCTCCCCTTCAGCAGGCATTATGCTCAGGGAAATAAGTCAGACAAAGACAAATATCATATGGTTTCACTTATATGTAGAGTCTAAAAGAAAAATCCCACAAACGAACAAACAAGATTTAAAAACCCAGTTTCATAGAAAGAGAGCTTCTTTTTAAAACAGCAACTCCCAAGGTAATTTAATGGCATGAAGTCATTTAGGAGTATGAGGCTAAACTCTCTCTTTAGGCTGTGTGATTGAGGAATAAAATGTTCTGATTATTAGAACATTCTCATTGACCTAGCAATATAATATACAGTAAGACCATCACCTTATTTGAAAAACAGTAAAATTCAGTTAGCACTAACAGTGCATGGTATATAACTCAAACTTTTAGGAAATTTATAAGGTGCTTTGGAGTCCTGTAACCCATAGAGCCTTTATAATCGAGTGTCTATACATGATTCTTATTTTCATGGGCTCTGGGAAAAGGATTTATTTGATAAATAGAATTCCATTTCCGTCATGGCAATGTTTTAAGGATATTTGTTCACATTTATGTGCCCTAAAGTCCCACTTACTTTACCAGATTTTATTCCCACCTCTTCTTTTTTCTTTCTTCTGCAGTCTAGTCACTATTGGTTGGCATCTCCCCACCTCCCCCACCTCTTTTTCTTTTTTTAAACCACAGGGCGAATTCTAATATAGTTAAACAACCCTGACTTAATATTACTTCAGAAAAAAAGATGGAAATTGCACAAATATTCTTTGTAGGCTCTAAAACTATGTTGGCTCAAATATGATACCTAATCTAATTATTCATTTAGATGCTCGTTTTATAAGTTTGCCTTCCACTTCATGATTTTTCAGCAGCTGGTACTATATCTTGGTGTCATTCCCATGTTTTCTATAATGGATATTTTCACATCTACCAGCCTGTGAATTGAGTTTTCATTTTGAAATGGGAAGTGAAGGCAACATAGTTATTCCATAAGGAAACAGCTGATTTAAGGAGAATAACCCATCTTTATTAAATTGAGACATTTTAGCCAAGAAAAATATGGGTCAAATTTAAAAAAAAATGTTTTTCACAATTACCAGAAGGAATGGGTGGGGCCAGCCTTTCTCATTTACTATCCAGCTGCAAGAGTCAAGGATCTTGGCTCATTCTATTCCCAAGTGCATAATAGATGCAGAAAAAAGATGTGAAGGTCACAATCCTCAAATCAATTAAAGGCATTGTGTTCTACAACGGATCCCGGCTGGAGGTGGGGAGGTGGAAGGGAACCAAAAGTGATAGATGATGTATAGAATCTGCCTGGGGATGTCCGTGACACATGCATTTTAAGCAACCTTATAGTACTCGTATGAGTTAATAAGACAGAGTAAACGGCTCCCCTCACTCACGCAGTGTACCACTGCAGATCAGTGATTCCTTCCCCTGGCTTTTCCCCCTCAGTGATATTTAATTATTTTTTCAGAAATTGAGGGCATAACCAGGAAAAAAATAACCAGGACATCAAAGAATAAAGGTATAATTATTTATGTATTAGGACTATGTGATGTTTCTGAAGTGATCATGTTCCATATAGGATATAATGAAAGATCTTTCTTTTTTATCTTGTTTATAATGATGTTTTACCTAAACTATGGATCAGATAAGTTCATGCTACTGTACTGTTGTTTGGAAATGCTTTAGTCTTAATGCTAGCTAATTATAAATAAAAAGTGTAGAAGCCTTTATGTATGTAAAAGGGTCTTTCCTTCTCATGTATATAATTGTGCCATTTTCATTATTAATAAACTTCTCTTTCAAGAACCTCGCCTACATTTTTTTGTTAATTAGAAAAAACATTGTAGATTGTAGCAACAGTTGAGTTGTAATTACCAGTCAAAGATACAATGTGAGCATGGTATAAAAATGAAAACCATTCTTTGATTAATCTTTTAAAAATATATTTTATTTATTTGATTTTTTAAAAATAAAAAATTAAATTACAGTTGACATACAATATTATATTAATTTCAAGTGTACAATGCAGAGATTAGATATGTTATTTACTAAGTGATCACCCCGACAAGTCTAGTACCCACCTGGTCTATACATAGTTATTACAATACTAGAGGCCCAGTGCACGAAATTTGTGCAATGTGGGGGAGGTCCCTCAGTCTGGCCCATGCCCTCTTGCAGTCTGGGATCCCTCAAGGGATGGCCGCCTGCCAGCTTTGGTGGACATCTGGGGAGCAGGCCTAAGCTGGCAGGCAGACATCCCCCAAGAGGTCCTTAGCACTGTCTCAGAGGCAGGAGAGGCTCCCACCACTGCCACTGTGCTTGCCAGCTGTGAGCCCAGCTTCTGGCTGAGCGACACTTCCCCTGTGGGAGCGCACTGACCACCAGGGGGCAGCTCCTATGTTGAGCGTCTGCCCCTTGGTGGTCAGTGCGTGTCATAGTGACCTGTCATTCTGCCGTTCGATCTATTTGCACATTAGACTTTTATTATATAGGATTATTGACTGTGCTCCCTATGCTGTACTTAACAAACCCATGACTGTTTTTATAACTGGTGATTCTCCTTAATCCCTTCACCTTTCTCACCTAACCCCTCCCATCTGGCTTTGCTTAATTTTTGTGTAGTGAGGATGTAGGGGAACTGGAGACAAATCTAGAGCCCAATTGTTGCCTTGAATTTTGTTGATACTTAGTGATGCAGTCATCGTTTAGCCTCTCTTGAACTTTAGTCTTTTAAACTCTTAGAAACTTTCATTTTCCCCCTCATCTGCTCAAGGCAGGGATGGAAAGAAAACTGATGGAGTTGATTAAAGGAACATTAGGGGGTAGTGAGAACCAGCAGCCCTGGAATGAGAGAAGGAAGTGGTGGGCTGTCTAATGAAAACAGAGGAGACAGAT